GCTTCATTTTCTTCAAATTGACATAACTGATGCATGGATTTTATAAGTATATGTGGGCATGCAGGCTAGTAAAAAGTTTGCAGATGGTACCCTGTGGCCTTAATTGTAAGTCTGTAATGGCTGCAATTCCTTTACAACCGGAGGAGATATGAGTCACCTTCTGCCTCCACCTCACCCTCGGTCTGCCCATTTCTGCCCTATAAGGTGGCTTCGCATACGCCTTCTGTGCCACGTCGGGCAACTATGTTTGTGGCTGGAATCAGAGCATCAACGGATTTCAGTGCTAACTATAAACTGCATGTGCAAACAGTTTCCAGGATTCGTCTGTGGGCTTTGCAGCAATGAATAAGTGTCAAAATCGATACACCCCCAACTCTATGTGCACATGAAAACAGCCAGCGGCAACCAAGAGGCGGCTCAGGAAACAAAAGTACAGTTTGCTCCCTTAGCTGCAAAAGCCAGCGCAATGCAGTGGGGGCGGGGAGGAGAGCGCAAGGCAGCAGACAACAGCCAAGTAGGGTGAAACGAAGCAGAAAGTCTCTCTTTCGGCTTGAGTCCTAGCGTGAGACTGCCAACTTCCCCTTTCAAAGAGAAAGATGTACTTCTGCTCCCAAGAGACTTGTCAGGGTTCTAATGTGTTATTTCTTATGAAGAAAAAAACCCGGCCGTTAATGTAAAATAGTTACATTCCACACGCTTTGCTTAAAAAGCACCAAGGTGGCTCACAAACAGAAACGGTTCTCAATTAAATTAAAAGGGAGCTAATGAAACAATTAAAAACAGTGGCATCAGCTGTAATATAAAACCAGGGGCAGCAAAGAATATATACTAAACGGGGCCAAAATGACACACCCATCCGCAGACTGCCTGGGAGCAGGGTTGCCAGCAACCTGGAGAACAAAAGTCCTGTCGTCGTAGCAGAGGCTTGATGAGATGTCATTTACCAGATGCTGTTACTTACCTCCATGCCATGAAAAGTTTCACTTGCCCATCTTCACACATCAAGCCTCTCTTAAAGCGGCAGGACATTTTTTTTCCCACCAGGCTTTTAGCAACCCTACCTGGAAGAATTAAAATTTTTCACTTAAAACTCAGAAGGCCTGGCACCAGGTGAATGGTGGTAAGGAAATTCCAGAGCCAAAGTATAACAAAGAAGGATCAGTCTCTTGTCACCACCCTCCTTAGCTTTGAAGGTGGAGGCACAAAGAGCAGGAGAAGAACTTAACTGATGGGAAGATGAGCACAGAAGAGTCCTTCTGATCCTTGACCCTTTATGGCTTTAAGGGTGAGAACCAGCACATTAAATTGTGCTCAGAAGGAAACTGCCAGCATAGTTCTTTCAGAACTGGTTGGATATGTTCTCTGCAACACATACTAGCCAGCAGTCTCACTGCTGTACTTGAAACCCAATCAACTTTCTAAAATGGTGTTTTAAAAAGCAGCTCCAAATCTGAGTGCACTGTGGTAATCTAACCTGAATATAACGCACAGAAGGCAAGAGTCCTTCTGATACACTGATCCTTGACCCTTTATGGCTTTAAGGGTGAGAACCAGCACATTAAATTGTGCTCAGAAGGAAACTGCCAGCATAGTTCTTTCAGAACTGGTCGGATATGTTCTATGCAACACATACTAGCCAGAAATCTCACTGCTGTACTTGAAACCCAATCACTTTTTAAAATGGTGTTTTAAAAAGCAGCCCCAAATCTGAGTGCACTGTGGTAATCTAACCTGAATATAATCAGTGTGTGGATAGTATGGATCTTTAATAGATCTGTATTTACTCTTGGCCAAAGAAGCGCAATGCCAAGGAATGTTCAAACTATCGCACAATTGCACTCATATCACACGCTAGCAAGGTCATGCTCAAGATCCTACAAGCTAGGCTTCAACAGTACGTGGATAGAGAACTACCAGAAGTACAAGCTGGGTTTCGAAGAGGTAGAGGAACGAGAGATCATATTGCCAACATTCGCTGGATTATGGAGAAAGCAAGAGAGTACCAGAAAAACATCTACTTCTGCTTCATTGACTATGCTAAAGCCTTTGACTGTGTGGATCACAACAAACTATGGCAGGTCCTTAAAGAGATGGGAGTACCAGACCACCTCACATGTCTCTTGAGAAACCTGTATAAGGGCCAAGAAGCAACAGTTAGAACCGGATATGGAACAACTGATTGGTTCAGCATAGGAAAAGGAGTACGACAAGGATGTATATTGTCGCCTTGCTTATTTAATATATATGCAGAGTACATCATGCGAAATGCTGGCCTGGATGAATCACAAGCGGGAATTAAGATTGCTGGGGAAAAGATCAACAACCTCAGATATGCAGATGATACCACTCTAATGGCTGAAAGTGAAAAGGATCTAAAGAGCCTCTTGCTCAGAGTAAAAGAGGAGAGCGCAAAAGTGGGCTTGAAGCTCAACATCAAAAAAACTAAGATCATGGCATCCGGCCCCATCACTCCTTGGCAAATAGAAGGGGAAGCCGTGGAAGTAGTGACAGACTTCACGTTCCTGGGATCCCAGATCACCGCAGACTGTGACAGCAGCCATGAAATTAAAAAACGCCTGCTCCTTGGGAGGAAAGCGATGGCGAACCTAAACAGCATGATAAAAAGTAGCAACATCACCCTGCCAACAAAAGTCCGCATGGCCAAAGCAATGGTATTCCCAGTAGTCATGTATGGCTGCGAGAGTTGGACTATAAGGAAGACCGAGCGCCGAAGAATGGATTCTCTTGAACTATGGTGCTGGAGAAGACTCTTGAGAGTCCCTTGGACAGCAAGAAGATCAAAACAGTCAATCCTAAAAGAAATCAACCCTGACTGTTCCCTGGAAGGCAAGATAATGAAACTGAAGCTCAAATACTTTGGCCACCAAATGAGAAGGGAGCACTCACTGGAGAAGACCCTGATGCTGGGAAAGACTGAAGGTCAAAGAAGACGGGGACGGCAAAGGATGAGATGGTTAGACAGTGTCATAGATGCAACGAACATGAAGTTGAGCAAACTTCAGAGGACGGCGGAAGACCGGAAGGCCTGGCGTGATCTGGTCCATGGGGTCGCAAAGAGTCGGACTCGACTGTGCGACTGAACAACAGAATAAGGATAATGATTAAGAGCTTAACTACACATGATGTTTTCCTCGGGCACATCCTCCGATTGGGCCACAGACATGTTTGGGGTATTCCGTGCTTCCCAGGCATATGGGGGCATGGTTCAGATCAGATCATGCAGGGGGAAGGGGCTGAGACTGTCCCCCACAACACCGGTTTCCCAACCTGAAATGCCCCAACAGAGCCACAGTTTACTCCTCACATGAAACTGATATGTAGCCGTATGAGTACCCATTCAGCCCACAATGGGGTAGAACACAGCACCCTGGGGCCATTTCAGTAGGCAAAATGGTGCGGGGGGAGGGTCTTAGCCCCTTTTCACCACGCCCTGAGGGACTCCTCGGTCCCAGGAAGCACCGCGCTCTAAGAACATGTCTGTGACCCTTCCCAGGGATGCCCCCAGGAAAAACATAATGTGTACTTAGGGCTTAAGTCTGCTGAGTATAGCTTGCCTCAAAAAACAAACAAAACAAGCAATGAGTTTGTGTCAGTGTAAGAAGTCACACTGTGTAATCAAGAAGTCTTTTTGTCTGCCCGAATTCTATTTACCTACATTTCCTATCCAATGATTACGCATGACAGTGTTTACAAATATCAGGTAATTCCTCCTACACAACATTCCACACAATCTCTGGGGCAGGTGGAAGTAGGCTGCAGTCCACTGGTGTACCCACAGCCAATTTCACTCAATGTCTGAGGGCTGTTGTGATGCTTGCAAAGAATGCTGTCATACTTCTGTGTTCTTAACTAAGGGTGCACCTTCAGGATCACTGACTGCCCATAATGTGGGCGTCCCCCACGTGGGGCCCATGGGCGCCATGGTACCCATCAACACCTTTCCTGGTGCCTGTCAAGTATTTTTAGAAAGTGGGTGCAACCAGATGGGGATCTTGCCCAGCAGGGCTTCTGATGGGCCACCGGAGAGCCGACTGGCTGTGCAGATTAAAATAACATTGTTTCAGAGGCAGCTGCCCCCACAGTGTTGGTTTTATTCTCTCTTACTCCTCTTTCCCAGTGTGTTTTTAAAATTTCCCCTCTTCTTCCTTGCACTTGGGCTTCTAGGGTTGACAGTTTAAGGTTGGGAAATTCCTGGAGATTTGAGGGTGTGGACCATGGGGAAGGCAGGGTTTAGGGAGGAAAGGGACCTCAGCAGGGTATACCCTCCAAAGCATGGTCCACCTTCCAAAGCAGCCATTTTCTCCAGGGGAATGGATGTCTGTAGGCTGAAGACCAGTTTTAATTCAGGGAGGTTGGCAACCGTATCTGGGTGGTTGGCTCCACTTCCTGTGGCAGCCATTTTGTGGCTGTGCCCACCACCCTCTGTCAGAATTCCAAAGGCGCCCACGGGCTCAAAAATTTGTGGGACTCCTGCCATGAGGTATGTCCTGTGGAAATATCCTGAATATGGATTTGTAAAAAGTCCACAAGCTATGTTAGCGCTTCAGAGCTTAGCACATTCTGAGAATCAAACTATCCACCCAGACCTAGATAACCCAGGCAAGCCTGATCTCGTCAGCTCTCAGAAACTAAGCAGGGCCAACCCTGGCAAGTACTTGGAAGGGAAACCTCCAAGGAATACGAGGGCTGGGACTCAGGGCTGGGATGCAGAGGCAGACAATAGGAAGTCACCTCTCTGAAATGTCCAAGCCCCAACAGGGGTTGCCAGAACTCAACAACACACATACACACACACAAAATACTTAGCAAAAAATAGAATTAAACTATCCAAATGTTAAACTATGTATTTTTTAACAAAAAATTGCTTTCCCCCTATAAAGCACTAAGCTTCCTAGTTGTAAACAACACTTTCTATTTGCAGTATTATTCTGATTTAACTGCAGAGCACACGAATTATTATTACTGTACTTTGTTCCTAGATACCATGTTCTAGAAGTTATGAATACCTCTGGTCAAAGTCTAATGATGATGCCCGGAAACATCCACCCTGAAGAATACAGGATATCGGCACTTGTCTTCTATAGCTTTGTTTTCACAATTGGCTTATTTGTTAATGTCACTGCTCTCTGGGTCTTCAGTTGCACCACCAAGAAGAGGACAACTATAACCATTTACATGATGAACGTGGCACTGCTTGACTTAATGGCTATATTTTCCTTGCCTTTTCGGATGCTTTACTATGGCAAAGGCTCTTGGTTCTTCGGAGACACTTTTTGCCGGGTTCTTAGTGCTCTAACGGTGTTCTACCCAAGCATAGCTCTATGGCTGCTGGCTTTCATAAGTGTTGACAGATACCTGGCAGTTGTGCAACCTAAATATGCTAAAGAACTTAAGAATACAACCAAAGCTCTAATAGTGTCCCTGGGCCTCTGGCTAACGACCATAGCGACAACTTCTCCTCTGCTGTTCCTGAATACTGATCCGGATGAAGCCTCAAACCATACCAGCTGCATTAAGATGATGGATATTATCTACCTACAAGAAGTCAACGCCTTAAATTTTTCTCGGCTGGTGTTTTTCTTCTTGATCCCCTTGTTCATCATGATTGGCTGTTACCTAACTGTCATTTACAGCCTTGTCCACGGAAGAACGTCCAAGCTGAAACCAAAGGCTAAAGAGAGGTCGATCAGAATTATTGTGACATTGATTATCCAAGTCCTTGTATGTTTTGTGCCTTTTCACATTTGCTTCGTGCTCCTGATGCTGCAAGCTGGACATATAAGCTACAACCCATGGGGAGCATTTACCACCTATCTCATGAATCTCAGTACATGCCTAGATGTAATCCTGTACTACCTTGTTTCTAAACAATTTCAAGCCCGAGTGATCAGCGTTATGCTCTATCGGAATTATCTTCGAAGTGTACGGAGGAAAAGTTTGCGATCTGGAAGCATGCGGTCTTTAAGCAATATCAACAGCGAGATGATATAAAAACAATAAAACAATGTAAAAATATACTTAAAGGAGTTTTGACCATTAAGGATGCGAAAGCAGAACAAATAAATAAATGTTCAAACCACTGTTACGTTAGAAAAAGAAAAGAAGGAAAAAAATTTCTTATCCCAACTGTTTATTTACTCTGATAAAAAGATTACCCTAGGTCTAAATGCATTGAGTTTTCTATTTATTAAATTCCATTTTGTACCTATTCAATTATTTTTCCACATTGTTTCTGGTTGTGTGCTTTGTGCTACCCTCTTGCTATATTTTCAGGAAACATCCTTTAATAAGAGCTCAAACATCATGAAGACCACACATCTACATCCGCCTATAAAATTCAAATTGCAGGTTCATGCAGCCACAATTTGCCTTGGGATGCCTTGGGATCAAAATCAGTCCCCCTGCTCTACTGCTAGCATTTGAAACAAAAAAAGACATATCCTTTAAATACATGCCTATTTCCTTCAAAATATTAATAACAGAGTAGTGAGCCGGTTTCGATTAGTGAAACCAAGTGGACAAACTCCACCAGTACCCCTTTCCAAGACTGTCCTGGGGCAAACTTGAGGCTGGATGAGTCTGCAATGTGTACTTTAGAGACTGATGAAGAGTCATGGTCTTCACCACATCTGTTTGAGCCCAAAGACTAAATGATCTGATACACAGTCAAAACTTGCATGAGAAACTGTATGATTATACTGCAAAGGGAGGAGAGTTTTTTAATTTGATAATAATTGCCATAATTCCTCCCGTTATGTGCTTATGCTGAGGTCAAGATGCAAAGACTTCTACATGACCAAACAAACCTCAGAGGCTTCCTCAGAGCCAAAAGTACACGCACACACCTAATTACAGTACATCCAGGTACAGGACTATGTGGAAGATGGCAGGCAGCCCAGAGGGCCTGAATTAGGCCCATAGAGAGTTGAAGTTTAACCACATTTGACCAGATAAATAAATACAGCGTATAACATTTTTCATTTTTCTTTTTCCACTTCGGGAGATTTACACAGTTGACTATCATCGTTTTTACAAAGATGACTGACCTACTTCAGTAAATAATTTATTGTCCTTCCTCTCACTATTTCTTTTAGCTCTACTAACCAACAACTGTTTATTTGCTCAATTATGATTTGGTTACAGGTATTTAGCCTCCATGGGTCCAATCCAGCCCCTCTGTACTGTGTGCTTGATTCCACACGCCAAACATTGGGGCAAACCTATACATCACCTACCTGTAAAATGGATATCCTACTGACAACGAAATGCCTTAGGGGGTATTGATATGGAAATTCTTGGGATGTAACCCTCTATCTAAGCCCTTCAATACATCCAGGGCTTTTTTTTGTAGAAAAAGCCCAGCAGGAACTCATTAGCATAATAGACCACACACAACAGCAGAAACTCATTAGCACATTAGGCCACACCCCTGACAACACAGCTCATTAGCATACTAGACCGCACCCCCATGTTACCAGAAGTCTGGTCATCCAGCCACACCCACCTTTTGCTTCTTATTCATACTTTGCAGTGAGAGAGAAAAGGGTTTTATTGTATTTAGCCATAGGCCATTACAAATCAGAGAAAAATACTATAAAACATAGATAATTATATAAAATAGAGTACATTTTTTAAAATAGAGTCTTCTCTATTTTGTTTACCTTGTTTGTTGTCAAAACACTGGGCTTTTTTTGTAGCAGGAACTCCTTTGCATGTTAGGCCACACACCCCTAAAGTAGCCAATCCTAATGAGTTTCTGCTGTTGGGCGTGGCCTATTATGCTAATGAGTTCCTGCTGGGCGTGGCCAACTCGGGAGCCAGCCGGAACTCCATTCCTGTGAGTTCCTGCCCAAAAATAGCCCTGAATACATCTAAGATCTAGCAGCCCCCAAAGATGTCACTTTTTGAGAATCAGAAATAAGAAATTTTGGCACATCAATTGATGTGATTCTTAAATATGTATTTTGCTGTGGCAAGGCAATGTCACTGGAGGAAAAGGAAATGGGGATTTTTGATGATTTTCTCCTCCTACTCCCCATGCTGTTCCTCAGGACCACTGACAAAATTTTGTGACACAAGAAGGCTGTACGAGGTGATGAGCAGTGTTCCCTCTAAGCTGAGTTAGTGCGAGCTAGCTCACCGTTTTTTAGCCTCCGGCTCACACATTTTTGTCTTCGCTCAGGAAGCAACTCGAATGATAAAAGGGTTGGAACACTTTCCCTATGAGGAAAGGTTAAGGCGCTTAGGGCTCTTTAGCTTGGAGAAATGATGACTGAGGGGTGACATGATTGAGGTTTATAAGATTATGCATGGGAAAGAGCAGGTAGAGAAAGAGGTACTTTTCTCCCTTTCTCACAATACAAGAACTCGTGGGCACTCCATGAAATTGCTGAGCGGTCGGGTTAGAACGGATAAGAGGAAGTACTTCTTCACCCAAAGAGTGATTAACACTTGGAATTCACTGCCACAGGAAGTGGTGGCGGCTACAAGCATGGACGGCTTCAAAAGGGAATTAGATAAGCATATGGAGCAGAGGTCCATCAGTGGCTATTAGCCACAAGGTATAGATAGGGACTCTGGGGCAAGTGATGTTCTGTCTTCTTGGTGCTTGGGGGGGTCAACAGTGGGAGGACTTCTAATATCCTGGCCCCACTGGTGGACCTCCTGATGGCACCTGGTATTTCTGGCCACTGTGTGACACAGAGTGTTGGACTGGATGGGCCTTTGGCCTGATCCAGCATTGGCGTCTCTTATGTTCTTATGTAACCCCTTTCCATTACTCTGTGCACTTTTCTTATGCCTGTTTGCAGCACTGTTCCCCCACCACTATGGCTTGGGCCCTGTTTTTTGTTTTACTTGAAAGAGCTTCTTTACTGCCTTACGCAACTGATCAGGAATCACATAGTGAATATGATTATGACTAGGGTTGCCAGCCTCCAGGGGGCACCTGGAGATCTCCCATCATTACAACTGATCTCCAGACAACCAAGATCAGTTCCCCTGGAGACAATGGCTGCTTTAGAGGAAGGGCTCTATGGCATTGTGACCCTTTTCAGGTCCCTCCACCCCGAAACCCCGCCCTCCCCAGGCTCCGCCCCCAAAATCTCCAGGTAGTTCCCAAGCCAGAGCTGGCAACCCTAATTATGACAAAGCATCACACGGGAAACTTGGCATGTCAAAAGCAAAGGTCTCGAAAACAAGCTGCTTCTCGGTGCAATCCTGGACAGAGTTATACAATTCTAAATCCACTGGATCCAATGTCCACAATGTATTTATTGAACCTTTAATATACTACACGGAACTATAACTCTGAACGATCTGGATCCCCAATATCTCAGGGAGCTCCTGCTCCCATTCAGACCTCTGCAAACTTTGAGACCTGCTGATGAGACCCTGACTGAAGTTCTGTCTTATGTGGAGGCCCTATCAGGTTGCACAAGAATTCCAGAGCTTTAGAATGCTTCTCCAAAAATGATCCACTCCGCTCCCCTGTTTACAGTATTCAGGATACAGTATTCAGGATACAGTTATACACAATTCTATCATTCTGTTCAGGGGTCATTTCGTAGAAAAAGTGCTAGGGGAACTCATTAGCATAAATCATTAGCATATGCCACACACCCTGACATCAGGGGCCCGGCGATGGACCTGCAAGGCCAGTGGGAGTGCGAGGAAGCCCCGCCAAGGCCCTCCCTGGCCCCAGGCAGGCAGGGGTGGGGAGAGGCGGGGCGGAAGCAACTTACCCTCCCTCTTCTCCTGCCTCCTCCTGGCTGAATGAGGGCTGGAAGCGGGGCGGCCGGAAGCAGGGGGCGGGGCTTCGTCATGTGCCCCGCCCCCCTGCACCTTACCCGGGGGAACTGCGTTCCCCCACGTTCCCCCCCCGAAATGACCTCTGATTCTGTTCTGTCACAGCTAAAGCAATCCTGCTCTTTAACACTTCAAGGCCGCAATGCTAAGAACACCAATCCTGGGAGTAAATTCCACTGACTAAAATGGAGGTTATTTTTGTGTAGACCTGATTAGGCTTGCTGTTCTAATTTCTGGATTTTAATATAAGGATTTAAACACATTCCACATTTTACCACTTTTGGAGAATTAGCTGAAAACAAGCATGGAAATTCTGTCAATAAAATTAACATACTGCATGTGCTTAAAGCAATAATTTATTTCTCTTTAAAAATACAAGAAAATGATTTCTCTATTTGCCCTGTTGCAGAAAAATAAGAAAACTGAACAGATGCTACACAACCACTCAGTGTTTGTATAAAAAGAAGGAAGAAACAGTAAAGGATAACTTTACAAGAATCTTGGTTGCGCAACACAATAAAGACTACTCAGTACAATGGTAACGGGGATTATTTGCATATGAAAGGATGTATTTTTAAAAAGCTGTGAAATCCTAAATAAAATTACATCAATCTGTCCACTGAAATCAATGGGCTTACACTGGAGTAACTCTTAGGGTTGCCAAGTATAGCTTACCTCCGCAGCGGGGTACTCCCGGGTGGATCCTGGAGTGCGTGCACGCTTTGCGTGCGCGCGCCGCACGCACGTCACCAGGAAGTGAAATTATGACGCCGGGCACGCTGGGGGCGGGGTGAGGGGAAAACATAGAGTTTCCCCTCGGATGGTCATGGCCCCACCCCCAGCGTGCCCGGCGTCATAACGTCACTTCCTGGTGACGCGCACGCCGGGGTGCGGTTCTCCCCCGGCCACGATTCCACAGCGGCGGAAATCGGGCCTCCCAAGCGGGGGTTTACCCACCACCCGCCCCCACTTGGCAGCCCTAATAACTCTGCACAGTGTTCCACTGTAACATACCCAGAGTTCAGGAAGCTCCTTAACAGTTACTTACAGTCCTGAAGGCAAGCTGTTGATAGAGACGTCAAAAGAATATTCAACAACTTCTACAAGGAGAAGATCAAACAATACTGACAGCATCCAGGAACCTAGCAGAAAAGACTGAAAAACAGTAAAGAAAGACGTCAGAATCAAGAGCAACTTTTAACAGAGATTTAGCTACTTACTGGGCCATCCTAACTAGAGCTACTCTCTTCCATTTGACCTCCTTGACCTTAGAAGAGTGGAATTCTGCTTAGGGTGGCACAGTTTTCACCAGGAGCCGGGGCACATATGGCTTTTGAAAGACTTTTTTGAGGCCTAAAGATGCTTTTGGCTATAACAGAAGGTGTTCAAAGGGCTCATAACCCAGAGGCAAATATCACAACCCCACAAAGTATCATTATTTCTAAACCTGGTGAGTCAGGATCTGGTGTTTAACTTCTGACACTAGCAAAACTTAGACACACTGCCACATTAGCAGACCAAACATTCAGACTATTAACATTGTAAATATACTATCTAATGAAAATGCTCCTTTAAAAAAACGTCACACACGGGACCAAATCAGAAGACACGGGGCCCCTGTGGAGAAACACCAGGTAGATTTCTGAAGGATTAATGAGTACAGGCGACACAGTACAGAACTAATGGTAGTTTTACACTGTCTTCCTTGTACACTATACTGCATCTACAAGCAGAGCTACGTTCATCAGTTCAGGTTTCCAAATGATTTCTGTTCTTTTAAGTATTTGAGAATTACAGGTAAACCTCAAAATTAAAAGCACTATATACAATGCACATACACACTTGAAACCATGTGACAGCCTCTTGAATGCACATGATAGCTAAAGAAAATACACAAGTTCTCTGCAACCGTTTTGTTCACTAACTTTCATCCTTGCTTATAAACCAGGTGTCCATGCCAGATAGACTACATGCTTAAATCAACAGTATATACATAGGGCACAGAAAATTAAAGCAGCTCCTTACATTTTGGATTTTTTTAAAATAAACCAATTATTTTTAGTTTTGTGTGCATTGTGGTTCCCTAAATCTCCACAATTTTATAACAGGTGCTAAATAAATGACATTTTCCCAAAAAAAATATTCTCTGTGCAGGAATTATATTTGCAAATTATGACAACTATATGGACCAGGAAGCCAACGCACCCTGTAACTCTCCAACCCATATGCTACCACACACACAACACATATATTGCCAGTGCACTGCTGTGACACTGCTTTGCAGCATCAATGGAAACAGGGGACCTTTTCACAGCAAATGAGCTTACTCGGCACAGGAGGGCAGGAAGGGTTGCCTCAGTGCTTCTTGTGGCCCTTTTTTACACACCCAGGAAAATGCTGATTGCCACTTCGGGGTCAGGAAGCAATCCTGGGGGTTTTTTTGTCATCTTCTGAGCGTGGAACAGCGGTCACTGCGGGTGTGGAGGGGGAGGTATTTGTGAATCTCCTGCATTGTGCAGGAGGTTGGACTAGATGACCCTGGAGGTCCCTTCCAACTCTATGATTCTATTATTCTATAATTGCAACTGCATGCATTCTGACCATCTCTGTATATAAGGGATAGTTCCTATTTTAAAACCTGTCTCTGATGAATCGTTGTCTCTATTCTGTGACAATGGTTGCCTTTGGGGGAGATGTTGGGGATGCCTTTTTCATTGTGGCTGGTGGGGGTTGCTAGAGTTGTCTTCAAGGTTCATCTGTCTCTCTCCCCAGGTTCTCTACAACATGAGTCTCTGAACAGATGATGGAAGTATCTTATCTCCAGTACATTCCTTCTAAACGCATGGATGCTGTAGCAACGCACAGCTGATCATTCACATGCCACTGTATCTCCATTCTGGGCAGTTAATAATAACAAATTGTAGGACAACTATGTATTTTGGGGGGCACATGTCTAATTTAAAGAGAAAGCAGCTGCTTGATGTCTGAAACACTGGAGATAGGCTAGTGCAGAGTAAATGAATACAGCTTTCAACAATGTGTGATGTGGAGAATACAGCCTGGTACAAGAATACACTGGTACAAGAGAAAACACTGGTACAAGAACTGGGTTGCTACAAGGGCATCTGTATGTTTATCTGTGAAATCTCAGCAAAAACATAGTTGCCCTTAACTGCAACTGATGTTCGTCAAGTGGTCCTCTGTGCAAGCACACATGGGACGGTGCATGCACAGGCCTGCTGCGAAGAGGACTTACAGGATTCTAGAGCTTTTGTGTCTAAGAGATTGCTCTCCCCCCTCCAGTCCAGAGCCTGCATTTCCCGCCTAAACAGTCATGTGACTGGGAGAAGGGGAGCAAGCTTCCCTCAGTCTTCCTTCCACCACCGTAAGGGGAAGCCCCTGAACACAGAGCAGCCCAGAGGGGGGGAAGGAAGGGAGGGAGAATACACAGCATCACTGCCCCAGACATAGTGTTCCCTCTAAGCTGAGTTAGTGTGAGCTAGCTCACAGTTTTTTAGCCTCCAGCTCACATGTTTTTGTCTTAGCTCAGGAAGAATGGCTCCAGAGCAAACTAATTTATGCAGCAGTCAAATCGCTCGCTCACAACTTTAATGCCAGTAGCTCACAAAGTACGATTTTTGCTCACAAGACTCCACAGCTTAGGGGGAGCCCCCAGACATAGTGTTCATCTATACCTTGTGGCTAATAGCCACTGATGCCCTCTGCTTCATACGTTTATTCAGTCCCCTCTTGGAGCTGTCTATGCTTGTAGCCGCCACCACTTCCTGCGGCAGTGAATTTCACGTGTTATTTACACTTTGGGTGAAAAACTACTTCCTGGTGGTCAGATCTGAGACTGCCAAGGAGGGTGCTGATGCCAGAGAGGGTGCTCGGGCCCGCTTTTCTGGGGAAGTCTGACATTTCTCGGGCTGGGCTCCCAGAGCCTTCTCCCAAACCAGCATGAACTGGCAGCAGTGATCACAGGCCACGGTTTTATGTGCTTCCTCCAAACAGAGTAAGCATGAAGAGTGCTCATCGGACTGGGCCATTTTAGTGCCAAAGTCCGCACATTTTTTTAAACAGGGCCATTCTCCACTGATAGCTAAGGAGAAGGACCACTGAAAATCATACACACAAAAAATCAAGAGGTAACAGCTCTAGAGGCAGTGAAGAAAAGACTGTGGGAAGATCACTCCCCCGTCCCAGTCAAGTGCCCATTTAGGCAGGAAACGTGGGCTCCAGACGGGAAGGGGAGAGGGATCCCTTAGACTCAAAAGCTCTAGAATAGTCCTCTCCATAGCAGGCCTGCATGTGCGCAGTCCCATGTGGGTCGGCAATAAAAGTCACGGAGATGAAAACACTACTGCAGATAAGAGTTCCATTTGGAATGAACTACATCCAAACTGGCCCCTGACTTGGATGGCCCAGGATAGCCCGATTTCGTTAGATCTCAGAAATGAAGCAAGGTTGGCCCTGGTTAGCATTTGGATGGGAGGCCACCAAGGAAGCCCAGGGTCACCACACAGAGGCAAGCAATGACAAACCACCTCTGAACATCTCTTGCCTTGAAAACCCTTTGGGTTGCTGTTCTAGACGTGTTGGCACTTTCCACCACCATATGCAAACCGGTTCCAAAACAGATGAAGGTGCTTCTCTAAATCTAAATGTTGTTGACTAGGTATACTTACTATGGAGGATCAATAGCATTTGTTAGATACACAGATACATTATTTACCAATGAGAGAAAAGAGCAGATTCCTAAAGCTAAAGGGAAGTTACAAGAGTGTTCAATTTGCACTAGGAATGGAGGAACTACTGTCGGTGTGATGCAAGAGGAACTTAAATATATTAAACCATGAAATATGAGGAGATACTCAAATAAATTCCCAGAGAAACATGAAAGGAAACAGAACTTACTGAAAATTTTCTGCTGCCATACCTCCTTTCAAATATCCTAAAGTTATAAATTAGCAAGCTGCTGCAGAATGTGTCTTTGAGATCAAGACATACGGTTCTCCCACAGACCAGCCTCCAGACCTAGGAGATGAAAAAGACACATGTATTTACACTTCCACACGCCTAGAAAAGACTTCAAGTGATGGCGTTTTGGTTACAACTTATAGCTTATGATAAAACATTATATAAGTTGCAGAAAATACAGTTCTCTAAAAAAAATATCTCAAATGCAAATAGGTTTTTCTGAAAACTACTTTACAACAATAAGGTAGTTACAATAACACACTTTTCAATTGCTTTTCAACATTTCTGTTATTGGATACTTGTTAAGTAAGGTAACACTATTCAGATACACATCTGCAGAGAGCGATTTAGGCAAATGATGGCTTGGACCCACCAAAGTGTTTCCGTGGATGAAAGGATTTCTGCCTGTGGAGCATAACCCGCTCACCTCCCCCACATACACACTGCAGCCCCAAATGCTCCCCAAAATGTGCTCCAGTGGATGCAAGCCCATGTTGTCAATTTAACACGTAGTCTAATTTCAAGATGGTAGCCGTATGACTGCCCTTTTTAAAATTCTCTAATCTGCCTTGGGTCTCAGCAAGGAAGGCAGGCTATAAATAAACAAATAAATAAATGTCTTGGGAAGCAGTGATGACAGAGCCTGACAGAGCCTGGTGAGCAGAGCCTAACACCCAGCTCCCATTTAAGTACACACACAGCTTAAAAATGATAATCACAGGAACATCATTTTCTTTCTGGTCCAAAAGAAATCACGACCACAAATTTTGGACCAAGTTGTTTTGTTGGCACATATATACATCACAATGGATGATGATAATCTTAAGGTAAACAAGCACAAAGTGAGCAGCATTACACATTACTCTGAAATACTAGCACTTAAATTAGTTTGCATTCCTTGCACATGCATTCAGTCTTAGAAGTCAAATAGATATGAATAAGCTGCCATAAATGTGACTCTCAATTGTTGTATGTCATCTAGATGAAGAAGAAGAGTAGGTTTTCATACCCTGCTTTTCTCTACCCTAAGGAGTCTCAAAGTGGCTTACAATCTCTTTCCCCCACAACAGGAACCTTGTAAGGTAGATGGGGCGGAGAGCTTAGAGAACTGTGACTGGCCCAAGGTTACCCAACAGGCTTCATGTGGAGGAGTGGGGAATCAAACCCAGTTCTCCAGATTAGAGCCCGCAGCTCTTAACCACTACATCACACTGGTTCTCTAGATGGTAACTGTGGTGGACCAGCGAATGAGATGGTTGAAGGATACACTCTTCAATACCTGGACCTAAAGTTCCATAATGACGACATGATGCTGAAAACTACTGGATGTTGACAGGACACAACTTGGAGTGAGTTATGTGCTGGTACAGTAGTAGTACACCTTGTCCTGATACTCATTTGAGCATTTGCCAATGAGACTCAAAATGATGAGTGCATCCATTGTGCTGCGATGTTACTGTTTTCTAGATGTTCAAGGAATTATAGTTATTTATGCTATATGTAAGGGCCACATTTTTTTCTTATAAAGGGCTTTTCTTCAAACTAAGAACTGGACACCTATTCCACATCACATATATGTATATGAAACCTTGAAAATCTTATTAGAGTAAATCAGATCAAGGAAACCATCTCCCTGCCTTGGCAAGCATAGGCCAAGTGAGGCTTTTATAACCACTATATCCCTACCGCTAAGAAAAGGGGGGGAAATAACTTTACTTGTATTTGCAGTCACTTAGTACAAAAAACACATATTGCTGAGCAAAAATTGTCTAACTGCTGTTGAACAAAGGAAAATAAAATTATGAAAGAACAAAATCCACTTTCCTAAGTGTAAAATTTACCCCTGTAATGGTGAGACAGGCAGGATAATCTTAACAAATAGCCCACTCTGTCTCCCAGCTGTTCCTGGCCTTTTTCACTATTTCTCATATCGATTTTGCATTCTGTTCACCCTAAGGTTGCCAGCCCGTGGCAACCTTAGGAGCTGAGGAAGAGCTGAGGCATCCTGAGGTGCAACCATATCTGTTCCAGATGTACAACCAGATATGATGTCACTGCATCACAGGATACTCTAGGATCTCCCAGAAACCCTATGGTAAAAAGACAGCGTTTCAGGGGGATCCTATAGCGTCCCATGGCACAGTGATGTCAACTGTTTCCTCTCCCACATTTTTTTCCTGCTGCCCCACTGAGAGATGGTGGGGGACCACCCTACTTCCACCCCCAAAGGGGAAAAAAAGCAAAAGCTCTCAAACAGAGTTCTTCTATTAAACTCCATCACATCACTACTTGCCAGCTTCTTGGTGTAGCCTCACCAAAGAACACCCCCCCCCCCACCAGCAGCTAGGTGCTGTCTTTGGAATCTTTGGGAACTTTCAGGAAGTGCTCTAAGGCAGAGCTTTTAATGGAGTGAAAGTTACAGGCATTTCTTTAGGTTAGGGGGGAACTGGAGCTGTATTGTTACTATATGTTTTTAATTATGCATTGCAAGCTGCCTTGAGTCCTGGGGAAAGGTAGAGCATAAATAAACAAAATGGGACCTGCAGAACCAACTGTCTGAACTGAAGTCACTATGTGATTGATCAAGGTGGGCAGCCGTGTTGGTGTGAAGCAACAGAACAAAGTTAGAGTTCAGTGGAACCTTTAAAACGAACAATCTTTTATTCAAGGTGTGAGCTTTTGTGTGCAAGCACATTTCTTCAGACAATGATTAACAGCTATGAGAGAACTCAGCCTCATTCTCAGGCAAATGAAAGGAAGACAGCAAATATGTTTATACTGTACTTAACTGTCATACTCTGTCTATGAACTCATAAATGTTTTGCTTACCTGAAATTCTTCTTTCACTGCTTGCAGATTATATACGAAGAACTTTTGATAATGTTGAAAAAGCAGAGCCAGCAGCAGTGAGAGGGTGCTTGGTATTATTAAGAGGCCCTTGGACAGATGCACTTTATCTTTAAAAGAAAAAGTAAAGGTATACAGTGAGGTTTCAGCTGCAAAAATGAAAGTTAAAAAAAGGACACGGTTTCCCATCAAAATAAAATTTTCTCCAGTCCACCCACCCCAAACTACACATACCTATCCAACATTTATGACAAAAATGAAACTGTGTTTTAATAGTAACATAGCTTTTTACTCAATTTTATTTCAAACCATGTTCTGGCCAAGATAATTCCCATGGAGATTTTGAGTAGTGAATATTATAATATATCTGAAGACAAAACGTACATTGTAATTCATTAGGGCATTTTATTCACAAAATAATACATTCTATACATTAAAGTATGTTTCCTTGGATAACGGATGACAGTGGGAAGCCAGTGTGTAGGACTGTCCCAGGATGTTGGAGTACGACTGAGGAGACCTGGGTTCAAACCTCCACTCAGCTGTGATGCTCATTGCTTGATCCTGCACCAGTCCCTCTCTCTAATCCTAATCTACCTCACAGGGCTGTTGTGAGGACAAAAAGGGAAAGCCATCTGGAGCTCCTTGGAGGAAGGGTGGGATAAAATGCATCAATATAGATCACATATAGATCAATACATAGATTGTCATCCTTATATTCATCACAGTACTCTGTTTATATATCATGTATATACCCCCTTTGCTGGATTACTCTTCTGCAAAGAGTAACCACCACAACAGGAATTGTCAATGGACACTGGTGAAACTGTCAATGGAAATGTTTGAGCCATGGTTCACCATGAACCATTTCTGAATACCTAATTTAGCTCTGGGGAAAACATGAAATCATATTACTGAGCAAGCGTATTTATCATTCCTCAAAATAACAGTCTAGCCCACTTTTGGGATTAGGGGATAGGTATTCTAAATCAGAACATCCGCATCCATTTATGTATATGTGTAAGAAAATATTTTAATCAATATCGAAGTCCTGCTTCACTGTGCAACACAGAGACTCAAAGAGTTTACCAGTATTCAATCAATAGTGTTTATTTTAGGCTTTTCAAACTTTAATGTACAGGAAGTGAGCATCTGGTTATTTTTACTTACTTACATCACAAGGTAGAAAATCCAGAGCCACAACCAACATATAAATGTGACAGTCACCCACAGGGGAAAGTACAGCTGTCTGCAAAATGCTCAACAAAAACAAAATGTCTTCATGTGATCCGGGGGGAAAATGTAAACATGAAGACATGACAGTTTAAGGACATAGACTGTGAGAGGGGGTTTAATCACCAATGTGGTATAATGGTTGGAGTGTCAGACTAGGATCTGGGAGACCCAGATTCGAATCCCCATTCTTCCATGGAATCTTCCTGGGCAACCTTGGGCAAGTCACACTCTCTCATCCTACCTACCCGACAAACAGAGGAGAGGGGAATGACACAAGCCACTTTGAGTTCCCATCGGGAAGAAAGGCAGGGATGAAGTAAGATAAATCCAACCAGTACTCAATTTGGTTAAAGGACATGTCTTCTTTATTTTAGAATGCTACTATCAGTGCGGGGAGCTCAGTTTTTATCAGAAAAACAATGAAGGATGATCAGCTTCACGTCTGTTTATGATGTCGGCATAGATAACTTAAACTGGAGTACAGCAGGCATTCCAACCTATACATACACTCACTCGTATACACAAAGAGGTCCCTTCAGCCGTCCTCTGTTTTACTGCCAGAACACCCTTTGTTTGTGTTTACTCAAAGTGTGAATCCATCTTTCTTGAACTTCTCTCTTTACTGCCAACAGGTTGGGGGGGGGGATTAGGATCCAAGGAGACATACCTCCTTTCAGGATATTTTCATCAATGAGAGCAAGCTGGGCTCAGTCCTCACTCACCTAACACATTTCCTCCACAAGGACAAGTCCAGTTCCTACATCACTTTCTTCCAGGGATATTCAGGGGTCAGATTTTTAAATTTGGGATGGAAGAACAGTGGCACTAGAAACAATTTATTCCCCCCAATCACATTTATGTGATCCCACCTTTCTGCATGGTTAACAAATCACAATTTAAGACACAACAGAGTAAAATAAAACCCCAAACACCCCTCCCTTCCTTAATCCACAGTTTCATTACTCCTTGCATTCACCTCTAGTTTTCTCCTGGCAAGAGAGAAGGATCAGGCTCCCAATTTTTGAGAGGGCCCTACTGTGCTGGCAGTGAAGGGGAAGAGCCTGGGGGTGTTCCAGGATGCCTCAGTAACTATGGAGGTCTAGGTCACAGCCACTGCCAAGGCCTGACTTTTTCCATCTGAGACAGATCAGACAGTTGGCCCCATATCTCAACCCCCAGGACCTGGCTACAATGACCCATGCAATGCTCACTTCCAGATTGGACTATTGTAATTCTCTCTACGTGGGGCTGCCCTTGATTCTGCTCTGGAAACTGTAGCTGGTACAGAATACAGCAGCACGGGTGCTGACTTCGTTGTCTGCGTGGACGCGGATCCACCCAGTGCTATGCAAAATGCACTGGCTGCCTATTGAGCATCGGATCCATTTCAAGGTGTTGGTGCTTACCTTTAAAGCCCTATATGGCCAGGGGCCTGCATATCTGCGACACCACCTCTCCCTCTATGAGCCCCGAAGGCCAACCAACCAACATCTTCTGGTGGTCCCCAGCCCCAGGGACATCCATCTTGCCTCGACTAGAGCCTTCTTAGCCCTGGCCCCTACCTGGTGGAATGAGCTCCCACAGGAGATCAGGGCCCTGCAGGACCTTTTACAGTTCCAAAGGGCCTGCAAGATGGCGCTCTTCTGCCAGGCTTTTAGTTAGGGCGGTGGGCAGCCCCCCTCTCTACTAGGCCCCCCCTCAGCAGGTCAGATCTGTATTATCATCTAATGACCCAAGCTCAAAATAGATTGCATCTGTGAGGCTTTGACTATGATCTGTACCATAGGAATGTTGTTGTATTTTATTGGGGTTTAGCATAAGAACATAAGAGAAGCCAATGTTGGATCAGGCCAATGGCCCATCCAGTCCAACACTGTCACACAGTGGCCAAAAATACCACGTGCCATCAGGAGGTCCAGCAGTGGGGCCAGGACATTAGAAGCCCTCCCACTGTTGCCACCCCCCCAGCACCAAGAATACAGAGCATCACTTGCCCCAGCCTGAGAGTTCCTGTCTATACCTTGTGGCTAATAGCCACTGATGGACCTTTGTTTATCTAATTCCCTCTTGAAGCTGTCCATGCTTGTAGCCGCCGCCACCTCCTGTGGCAGTGAATTCCATGTGTTAATCACTCTTTGGGTGAAGAAATACTTCCTTTTATCTGTTCTAACCCGATTGCTCAGCAATATCATTGAGTGCCCATGAGTTCTCGTATTGTGAAAAAGGGAGAAAAGTACTTCTTTCTCTGTTTATTGGTTATTGTGTGTGATGGAACCCACCCTGAGCCTGCTATGCGGGAAGGGCAGGATACAAATCCAATAAAATAAATAAATAAAATAAGGACAATAACGGATTTATGCAAGAAAAACCTTTATCCTGTCAAAGTTTATAAATGCCTACTAAACATGAAACAATCAGCCCCCCAAAATAATTTTGGTTTTGCTTTTCCAAAGGAACATCAGCAGCATAATAGAATTTTGTGCACAACATAAGCTCAAAAAAAAACGTTCGAAACTTACCCCTGATTTGACAACAAGCCAAATGACTGCACATATTTTAATCTGACCAATAAAGTGAATTGTGATCCCAACAATCCAAAAACAATATAAAAAAAACAGGCCAATTTTCCTGGAAGGCCCTTATTCTGAAAGAAATATAAAACTGATTTCAAATGCCTGCCCTTTTATATGCCTTATGAAAAATTTCTGTACTTCCCAATACAGTTTATTAAATCAGGAAGTACAGCAGCAGGTATGATGCACTCTAAAAAAAAGTCAAAGATTGGCCTTGGCTGCCCTCTGCCTGCCATTAGATATATATTTTTTCCCACCAGTCTAAAGTTTCCTGCCTGCTGAGAAGCCTATTCTACACATCAAACACAGCATTTCAAAGTAAGGTTCTGTTCCTAAAAATACAAATACATTGCAGTAGTTAAATGACTAGCGCTTCCAAGTGGCCGTGACTCACAGAAAGTATTTTTTCGATATGTACACCCCAAAGCCCATTTGAGGGTCGATTGACAGATTAGTACCTTACTGAATATATCCAAATGCACAAACAGATGTGACACAAGCCCCATTTCCCATTCACATGTTTAGCTTTTATTAAGAATGCTTTTTTTCTCAAGGGAGAACTGCCTTTTTTACAGCAGAGAACAAGAGCTGCTGCACGAATGCATATATGTCCAGGGCTATTTTTGGGCAGGAACACACAGGAACGGAGTTCCCGGCTGGCTTCAGAGCTGGCCACGCCCACTACAGCCAAAACCTCTGCCTGCGTGGCTACAGAGGGAAGGCCTGGAGAGCGACCCCCGGTGACTCCGAGACGGGCGGCCCAGGGGCCCCCCTGGAAGGATTGGGGAAGCATTTAAATGACTCCCTGTGCCTTCCCAGCCACGGGGCGCCCAAGCAAGCCAAGGGAAGGCATGGGTGTGGCCTAATATGTTAATGAGATGTGCTGTCAGGGATATGGCTTAATATGCTAATGAGTTTCTGCTGTTGGGTGTGGCCTATTATAGTAATGAGTTCCTGCTGGGCTTTTTCTACAAAAAAAGCCCTGTATGTCACTTGATTTCTCTACGCAATAGCACAGTTAGGTAGTTTCAGACTCTGGAAGATGAAGATGATGAAGAAGAGTTGGATTTATACCCCACCCTTCACTAGGAGTCTCAGAGCAGCTTACAATCTCCTTCCCTTCCTCTCCCCACAACAGACACCCTTGTGAGGTAGGTGGGGCTGAGAGAGCTCTTGTGAGAACAGCTCTGAGAGAAACTGTGACTGACCCAAGGTCACCCAGATGGCTTCATGTGGAGAGAGAACTGCTCTTGAGAGAACACCTTTGCGAGAACTGTGACTGATCCAAGGTCACTCAGATGGCTTCATGTAGAGGAGCAGGGAATCGAACTCGATGCTCCAGATTAGTGTCCGCTGCTCTTAACCACCACACCAAATTGGCTCTTACAGGAGGTGTACTTTAGATAGTAATGTACATTACAGGACAAACATCTGACAAACTTTGCCTTACCCCATCGCACCGCCTCCACAGATAAACACACACGGGGTGCGTTCAGACGGGGGCTTTATACCGGTTAGGGTGCCGGTTCCAACCGTTGTACTCACCGGCGTTCAGACGGGACACATCTGCCTCCTCTCCCTAACCGGTGTAAAGCCCTCTACACCGTTGCACTCTGCCACCAGGTCCCAAGTGGTGGTATACTGAGTGCAACGGTGGCTTCTGGTTTATCC